GGCACCACCTCATGGCATTTACGAGGGTCCGCCAGCGAGCGCGACCCCAGTCCCCGATTTTAGCAGGGACGCGATCCGACCACAAGTAGCGACATAAAGGCACGCTACTTTTAATTGTTTTTGCTGCTGGCCGAAGGCCAGCCCTCCTGAGACCTCATGCTGGCCGAAGGCCAGCCGATTTTTTTTGCTATGTTTCGGTGGCTGGTCTTCAAAACAAGGGTTTTTGTTGGTATTTTTATTGATTTATTTGGCGGCCGAGGCGGCAGGCGCGCTACTTTTTATTTTAGATCTCGCCCCTGGATTTTAGGACAGGATCCCCGTCAGTTACCACCTCCTAGTAGGGACTCAGAATTGCCCGGATATCGGCGTCGCAGAAGCGTCGCAGAAGTCGAGATTCAATCATGCCTCCTGCCTTAGCCCATCGCCTAGAAGGCGCTCAGAGGACAAATTCCGCAAACTCAGGTTCCTTTAGTTTGCCATGTCCAAAGTTCAGCCTAGGGTGCCCGCATGCCCGCAAGGGGCCGCCTCGCCCGTTGTCGCAAGGGGCCGCCTCGCCCGTTGTCGCAAGGGGCCGCCTCGCCCGTTGTCCAAAGCTCCAGGATCCTCGTACCTGCAGGATGCGGCTACAGAAAAGGATGCCGCATCCAAGGGTGCCCTCGTCTAGTTTTGCGAACTGGAGGCCTTCATCTATCTCTTCTTCAAGGTGATGTGGTAAACTTAACACGCACATCCTCCTCGGGTAGCAAACCAGCAGAGATGTTATCTGCGCTCACCATTCACAGTTTTGTATGTCTAACGAAAACGGCTGACGCGGATTGCCGCTGCGTAGATTTCCAGCATGTGGACTCGTGAAAAGGCGGCATTCCCAACCGTTAATATCAAAGAAGATGTACTGGTTTGCAGACACGCTCAATCCATCAGAAGCGGAGCCTCGTTTGAACCTAAAATCACATGCCAGGATACGCAGATGTGAGGACACCGGTCTCAAAACCAGAGCTTCAGATCTTGATGGTACTGCCACTCACGATTGTACCTAGAATCTGTGCCATCACGCCATCCGAGTCTGTAGGCACTGCCGATCACAACTCTTGAGCAGAATAGGCTTGTAAGACCTAAGAGCAGGGGTAAGATACAGATACTATGTCGTTTGGTACGCATTTACATACATCCCTGGGCATAGCGTAAAATATATAGAAGAGCGTTTCGAGTTGAAACTTTGAGAGATGGGAGCTATGTGATTTTGTTCGAGGTCAGTCAGGTTCACAGACGCAGGGGGGCACGTTTTTAGAGGAGGGGGTTGCATGTAGTAACACATGGGAAGTGAGAATTGGGGTTCACGTGTGGTTGGCGCTTCGGCCCAGGGCGATGCAAACGTGGAGTATAGACATTCGGACGAGTTCAGATTGAGTCCAAGAGTAGTCAAGTCTGAGCCCAAAGCCAAAGTGTTCAAGTCAGCGTTTGTCATGCGAATAACATCAAGAAGTCCGAGGAGGCCATATTTGGTTTGATTTTCAATCTCATTACTTTCTGCGAATTTGAAGTATCTCGAGATTCCAAATTACATAGACAACATTACCTGGTAGCATGCTAGCTTTAGACGTGATTTGATTAGTAGTTCCAGAACTCGATGTGAGCATACGTGAGTCTGTTGAGCTAGACAGGGAGTGATCAATCGCGGCATTGCTTTCAGGACCTGTCGTCGTTTGATGGGCAATTGTAACATGTTTTAATTTATACCGTAGGTGTTGTGCGCCAGTTTTATTTCCATATTTGCTTTGGCGGATTCTGCAAGACAAGAATGCGCTTGAAATTTTGTACCCTGGTTGGCAAAGTGACGTAATTCTACCGCTGGATTCAATGAAGCGTTTGCTCCGAGATCGGGATCACAACCATCAGTCAACTTGAAGAGGTTGGAGTCATTCTCGCTAGTAGCATGAAGAGGCATCAGGTGTTTGGGTTGTATTTCACTGTGGCCCATTGCAGGAAACTGAATCCCTATAACGTTGCCTAAAATCACAGATCATGATCAAACTGAGAATCAATGAACAAGCTGACCACATCTGAGTGTGGCGGTGGTAGAGACCTCAAGCGTTTCGGGGACAGCCTATGTGTGAATGTCATCGGCCGGAGTAAACATATCTTCGAGTAATTTTTAGCTCTTGCATTCATATACACGTGTATTCGAGAGCTCAGTAGTTGGCATCAATTGCATCAGCTTCGCTAAACAAGGCTGCTTGGTGATGCGGTTGGCTTCCTGGCAGAGCAGGAAAGTCTTCTGATTGCATAGCAAATGAGCCGGACTGTGAAGTAATTTGTCGCGTAGTTGCGTCATCTTTCTTTATTTGCTCAGAGAGAAGTGCGCCTCCCGATTGGTGTAAGGGCTCCTCGCGCACGATGCTATCACCACGGAGCATACCAGGAAAATTCGCCGTCGAATCCACCGACCTTTGTTACCACGATTCAGGAGCATGTCAACATGATTTCACACATGAGTAGACAATTGCGCATCTCGAGCTGTGCCGTTAATAGCGATGGTAGATGCGCGCCTATTCTAAGGCAACTGATAATTGAAGGCAACGCAAAGTATTACCCGTCCAGTGCAGGAAAATCTGACATCTTGAAAGGACCACCACGACCGTGGGAGGGCGCAGCAGCCCCAACCAATCCGATGCGTGAGGAATTGACAGTGGTATCATCTGCGTACCGACTTTCGACACCTGTGCATAAAGCTATTGGCACGAGCTATCCTCATGGAACTACCTGAAACTTCGGTCGCAGAATTTATTGGCACGCCCTTCGAGAGCATTGCAAGAAGGTCGCTTGACGGCGCGTACCTAAGTGCGAAACTTGTTTGCTAGTCATTTCCTCTTTTTGCCGACGCCAGCTAGCGCACGGCGTGGAGCTGGAATGACCCATCTGCGGTACGGGCAATGAACGAGAAGGATGGTTAGTCGCAAAACTAGAAGTGAGTGGTGCAACCTGTTGTTGTAAATTTCCGATACCTGCCACGTCTAGGTTAATGTAACACACTACCAGTTTATAACAACCTGACGGTGTATTATTGTATGGAGCGCCATTCATGCCGTGCACCGGGCTGTTAAAATGTGGTTGACCTGAGCGATACAGCGCGGATGCTGAGCCAGGTTCTGAGTGAGTCGCGTCTATGCCACGAAAAATGAACGGGTCACATGGGGCGGACCCCGAGACGCGCTCGTAGCGCCACCCAAAAGAACTCCTGGTGATGAACCCGTAGTGGGCGTCATTTGATCATCGCGATTATAGTAGTACTGAGATGCGTCGAAATCATCCTGATGCTAAGCGTTCAGTCGCAGAAGTCACTACACACATACGTGATCATCCTGAGTTTGTATATTATCCTTGAAGTATGCAAGCTGCCGCGACCGCGCATTCGACATACCACGGCCGAGGACGGCGGGAGTTGTCTACAACTCACTTGGCTCGCGAGTTGTTTCAGACTCGATTTGCGGCGTAGCTCTAGATCTACTGAAGTGCTGATGTCAACAGTGCCCCGATCAACGTACATCTAGGCCGCCCATAGGAAATTAATAATTAATAAAGATCAATCATCGAATTCCGGCCGGCGGAGCCAGAGTCATCAGTCCTCCATAGAGGCTGTGCGTCGACCGCGCGCGCGGGCGTGGTGTCGCGGAGGTCCGCGGGCTGAAATGACGGCCAAAATTGGGTTATCGTCGTATCAAAGCAAGTTCGATGATATTCACGCGTTAATTACACGGCTCCGTTCACGGTCGACCCCCCTGAGTCCCTGAGATTAATTCCTAGATTGCCCTGGTGGGGGTGTATATATGTGCGTTCGGTTCCGCTGGGCTCAGCGGACGTCCTGGGGTCGCGTCCGCGCAAAGGGCTCGTGGCAAAGGGGGCCGGGTGACGCCGGAGTGCGCCCGTTTACGCGCCGATTTCGGGCGTTCGGGGCTCGGGCCCGAAAGCGCGTTTCGGGCGCTTTCGGCGCTTCGGCTGCTCTTCCTGGCGGCTGGTTGTGCTCTCATGGGCCGTTCGGGGTCCGTGGGTTTCCGGGTCGTTGCGCTTTGCCATTGGGCTTACGTGGGGGGGGTCGTGGGGGGCGGCGCGGGGGTCCTAGGTGGCCGTCTCGGGGGCTTCCGGGTGGCGTTTTCGCCGTTTCGAGGCTCTTTCTGCTCTTTGGATCTCACTTTCCGTCCAGATTCGGACGCCGTGATGCTGTAGGATTGCCTTTCCCAAGGCCTCGCAAAACTACCGGGCCCCGGGCCTAACGCTGCATGCGAACGGAACCACACGCTTGCGATGACTTTTTGCGCGTGGTCGCTGGTTCGGGCCAAGAAACCGCAGGATTTAACTTCAACAAAAGTGCTGAAGTTCAACAAAAATGTTGACTTTTAAATCCAGGCTATCAGAATCTGAGTTTTGATCGGGGCACTGAGTGCTGACTGCACGGTTTACGCTGCCCACGCACCGGGAAAATCGACGATTTCCGTCCACTTGGCCTTTCGTATCTCCCACTAGTCTGATAAAGGAAGCAGAGTAAACTTCTCCCTCAAGGGGGAGGCTGAGCTCAGTTCAGTTAAGAGTGCCATTGGTCGTGAGAGGGCATCGGAATCGCTCTGCCAGGCTGGACGTCCAGGAGTTTTACCGAGCAACAATGCCGCGGTCCCCGGCCACGTCCCCGGCCCGTGCCCGGGCCGTGCCCGGGCCCCCGTGCCGGGCCCGTGCCGGGCCTCCCCGGCCCGTGCCCGGCCCGTGCCCGGGGCCCCTGGTTTTCGACCCTCGTCCGAGTCGCCAAAAATACGAATTTCGATGACGCGAAACTCGTCGTCCCGGCGGCCGATTTGGACAGTTGGACGTCCCAGGCCCGGGACGAAGGTCCGGACAACGGAACTAAACAGCAAAACCGAAGCGAAATCGGCATCGATGGCGTCCAGAGGCGTCGGAAAGTCGACCCCTGATTAAGGTCAAAAACCAAAGCAACACTTCATAGTGTCTCTGTCACATTTCTCGATGTCGGCGGCGCCTACTGTAAGAGAAGATGAGGCTTCGATGCTTGCAGAAAGCGTTGCGGCGGCGGAACTCACGTCAGTCGGCGAGGATGATGAGGAAGAAGACGACGAGGACGGCATTTCTGCGTCTGACGAAGAGTCTTCCTGGATTGCCTGGTTCTTGAGTCTACGGGGCAACGAATTCTTTTGTGAAGTTGATGAGGAATATATTCAGGACGATTTCAATCTGACTGGGCTGTCTTCGTTGGTGCCATATTATGATTACGCCCTTGATATGATTTTAGACGTTGGCACCTGAGTACATGATTGATTCTGTCTCAACCTCGATGTTCCCAGGTTGAGATGGCTATCGAGGAGTCTCTCACAGAAGAACAGCAAGAACTTGTTGAGTGTGTCATGAGATTGTAAATATGGACTGCACGTTGTTGTTACAGGTCGGCCGCAGAGATGCTGTATGGCCTGATTCACGCGCGCTATGTGATTACTAATCGGGGCATGCAAGCTATGTATGAAAAATATGCTTCGGCCTCGTTTGGCCGATGTCCCCGCGCTTTCTGTTGCGGGCAACCTGCCCTTCCAGTTGGCCGGTGACTCATGCGGCGTGCTAAATTTGGTTCTGTATGAAACAATGGATTGATCCAATAGGTCTGATCTGCCACGCAACTACACCGTGCACGTTTTTTGTCCAATGTGTCGCGACATTTTTACGCCGCGGTCATCAAGATCTGCTTCAATCGATGGAGCTTACTTTGGTACAACATTCCCTCATCTATTCCTTATGACATTTCCAGAACTCATACCTCAGCATGGCGTGCAATCTTTTGTGATTCGTCTGCGATAAAAATAATGTGCTCTTGTTCCTCTTGAGAGACATCTGTTGTGTCCAGGTCCCCCGTGTTTTTGGTTTCCGGATTCACAAGGCAAGCCCATATCACACAACTGCAAGTTCAGAGTACGGTGTGCCCAAGCGCCGCCCGAAGGCATCTCGAAGGTCCAAACCCAATTGGACAAGCAGCTCAAAGGCGTCAACAGGGAATCTCGGAATAGCACAAATCTAACTGACAATCACCTAGCTCCGCCAAGAGCGCACTATCACTCATTCGAAGTTTCCGGGGGTCCACTCGGTCGACGGACCGCACTTTGATTTCGCAGCCACCAGCCGCCAGGGACGAGCTAGGGCCCCCTGAACCCCAGGGTGGCAGCGAGCTGGGATGAGGAAAGGATGAGGACCACTGCACCATGCGCTAACTAAGACCCAGACGGGTCTCGATCTGAGATCGACGCCCCCAGGCGCGTCAGTTCCGAACTTCCGGGCCCTGCGGCTCCTGGGGCGTACCCGAACGCGGGGACTTCGACGCCGGGCCTGGGAAACCCAGCGGAGCTGAGTCTGCGGCTTGGCCCCCCTCTTAGTCGCCCTTAAGCGCCCCTCGCCCGGCGCTATCTCTGTCGGGGGAGTCCAGAGGGAGCCCGTCACAGGTCGCAACTTGAAGTAGGTTTGCCCGATTGTTGACGCTCGGCCATGACATCATTTAGTTGTAGCGCAACCTCGGTTTCCGACTCGGGCATCCGATGCAGCGGTTCTAGGACTTGGCGCGGCGCTCGGTCTGTGGACCATGTCGCGCCTTGGGCCCGGGGCCCGGCTGCGAGTCGCTCGGGAAAGACCATCGGTCGAAGGCGAGCAGCTTAGTTCGCGTCGGGGCAGCCCGTGGATGACGAGAACGGCCGTTAACGGTGGGGGGCGACCGACGAGGGGGCCAACTTAGTTCCAGGGGTCGAGCTGGCGGCTGAACTGCGAGGAGACACCCCCTGGTGTGACGTCGCGATAGTGAGGAAGCAATGTAATGTAAATTACGGGGGATGATGGTAGCTCAATCCAGTCCACGTACCCTGGGCCATGGGTTAATTCTTCGTACATTCGGACCTTCTGAAGTCTCAAGGTTTGACATTTAATTTGCCTGGAGAAAGACGTAGCTTGCGAAGGACTCCGGAATGTCACCATCACCAAATGCATGGTCCTGTATAATAACTTTAATCTTAATTCTTTCTATCTCTCTACTCGTAAATGCGCTCCGGGCACGCGGCCCGGCACGGGCCCGGCACGCGGCACGGGGCCCGGCACGCGGCCCCGGGCCGGGCATCCCAAAGTGCGGTTAGGATGAGTAAGGTGGTAAGGCCCAGCTGCGTCGAGTCCCCTGCCGGCGCGAGGCAA